TAGGTGCTGTACGTTAGTAATTAGGGGCATTATGGCAGCACCCAGGGCCCCATGGTGCAGGGCACTGTACGTTATTTAGTACATAAGAACATAAGAATGGCCATGCTGGATCAGACTAAAGGTCCACATAGTCCAGTATCCTGTCTTCTGACAGTGGCCAATGCCAGGTGCCCCATAGGGAATGAACAGAACAGGTCATCATCAAGTGATCAATTCCCATTGCCCATACCCAGCTTCTGGCAAATAGAAGCTAGGGACACCATCCCTGCCCATCCTGGCTATTAGCCATTGATGGACCTATCCTCCATGAATTTATCTAGTTCTTTTTTTGAACCCTGTTATAGTCTTGGCCTTCACAACATCCTCTGGCAAGGAGTTCCAGAGGTTGACTGTATGCTGTATGAAGAAATACTTCCTTTTGTTTGTTTTCAACCTGTTGCCTATTAATTTCATTTGGTGACCTTTAGTTCTCGTGTTATGAGAAGGAGTAAATAATACTTCCTTTTTTATTTTCTCCACATCAGTCATGATTTTATAAACCTCTATCATATTCCCCCTTAGTCGTCTCTTTTCCAAGATGAAAAGGCCCAGTTTTATTAATCTCTCCTCATATGGAAGCAGTTCCATACCCCTAATCATTTTTGTAACGCTTTTCTGTACCTTTTCCAATTCCAATATATCTTTTTTGAGATGGAGCGACAACATCTGAATGCAATATTCAAGATGTGGGCATACTATCGATTTATACAGAGGCAATATGATATTTTCTATCTCTTTCTTAATGATTCCCAACATTCTATTAGTTTTTGACGGCCGCTGCACATTGAGTGGATGTTTTCCACAATGACTCCAAGATCTCTTTCTTGAGTGGTAACAGCTAATTCAGATCCCATCATTGTACATATATAGTTGGGATTCTGTTTTCCAATGTGCATTACTTTGCATTTATCAACATTGAATTTCATCTGTCATTTTGTTACCCTGTCACCCAGTTTTGTGAGATCCCTTTGTAACTCTTCGCAGTCTGCTTTGGACTTAACTATCTTGAGTTGTTTTGTATCATCTTCAAATTTTGCCAACTCACTGTTTACCCCTTTTTCCAGATCATTTATGAATATGTTGAATAGGACTGGGCCCAATACAGACCCTTGGGAGAGACCACTATTTACCTCTTTCCGTTCTGAGAACTGACTGTTTATTCCTACCCTTTGCTTTATATCTTTTAACCAGTTACAGACCCATGAAAGGATCTTCCCTTTTATTCCATAACAACTTGCTTTGCTTAAGAGCCTTTGCTGAGGGACCTTGTCAAGGGCTTTCTGAAAATCCAAGAACACTACATCCACTGGATCCCTCTCATGCACATGCTTGTTGACTCCCTCAAAGAATTCTAGTAGATTGGTGAGGCATGATTTCCATTTACAAAAACCATGTTGACAATTCCCCCAACAAATCGTGTTCATCTATGTGTCTACTAATTCTGTTCTTTACTATAGTTTCTACCAGTTTGCCCAGTACTGAAGTCAGGCTTACTACCCTGTAATTACCAGGATCGCCTCTGGAGCCTTTTTTAAAAATTGGCGTCACATTAGCTACCCTCCAGTCATGTGCTATAGAAGCTGATTTAAAAGATAGGTTACATACCACAGGTATTAGTTCTGCAATTTCACATTTGAGTTCCTTCAGAACTTTTGGGTGAATACCATCTGGTCCTTGTGACTTATTACTGTTTAATTTATCAGTTTGCTCCAAAACCTCTGTGACGTTGCACCCCCTACTGCTTTATAGAAATATGCTTATGAGTGTAAATATGACATAACTGGAATATGTTTTATGCTAGATATGCCATGTAGCATATCTTTGCAAAGGTTGTGTTCTTCTGCATGTATTCTTCCTATCCATATGCATGTATCATTTTTATATCTGAAGTTATGAGCGTTGGCTCTATGCTTGTATTTAAAGTGTTTGCTGTAGAAAGCACCTAAGGCAAATTTGATCAACATAGTGTGAGGGGATTATTCAAGTAAATGAAAGTACTTGGCAAACTATGGACCTTGATAGACACCAATCCACATCTGAGCTTTTCTGGAAACATTCCTGTAAAGAACTAAGTCATGCATGGACATGGGACTTGCCCATATGACTCCAAAACTCCGTCTTGTAGAAGGGATTCTACACAGGGGGAGGGAGGGGTTAAGACCAACTAGGAGAAACTATATAAAGCCTTGGGAGACCCCTCCATTTTGTCTTCAGCTGACTCAAGAGATAGCTTCTCCACCCCCAAAGCATACCTAAAAGAAATTGGAACAAAGGACAGTAACCACAGCTGGACCCAGACTAGAAGGAGGCTAGTCTGTAAAAGAAATGTATTGGAACATCTCTGAGGGTGAGATTTCATCTGTAATCACGTTCTTACTGTATTAGGGAGTGTTTTATTTTATTTTGCTTGGTAATTCACTTTGTTCTGTCTGTTATTACTTGGAACCACTTAAATCCTACTTTTTATATTTAATAAAATCACTTTTTACTTATTAATTAACCCAGAGTATGTATTAATACCTGGGGCAGGGGGAACAGCTGTGCATATCTCTCTATCAGTGTAATAGAGAGCAAACAATTTATGAGTTTACCCTGTATAAGCTATATACAGGGTAAAACGGATTTATTTGGGGTTTGGACCCCCTTGGGAGTTGGGTATCTGAGTGCTGGAGACAGGAGCACTTCTTAAGCTGTTTTCAGTTAAGCCTGCAGCTTTTGGGGGACATGGTTCAGACGTTGGTCTGTGTTTGCAGCAGGCTAGCATGTCTGGCACAACCAGACCGGGCACTGAAGTGCCAAGCTGCCAGGGAAAACGGGCTTAGAGATAGTCTTAGCACATGAGGTGGCAGTTCCCAACGGGGTTTCTGTGACCCAACCCATCACAACTTCCTCTAATGGCACCTCAGTCTGGGACAGCTCCTCAGATTTGTCACCTAAAAAGAAGGGCTTGGGTTTGGGAATCTCCCTCAAATTCTCAGCCGTGAAGACTGACGCAAAGAATTCATTTAGTTTCTCCGCAATGGCCTTATCGTCCTTGAGTGCTCCTTTAGCATCTCGGTAATCCAGCGGCTCCACTGATGGTTTAGCCGGCTTCCTCTTCTGAGGTACTTAAAAAAAAAATTGCTGTTATTTTTTGAGTCTTTGGCTAGCTGTTCTTCAAATTATTTTTTGGCCTTCCTAATTATATTTTTACATTTCACTTGCCAGAGCGAACAGAATGTTAGGATCATTAAGAAAGGGGTAGATAATAAGACAGAAAATATATTAGCTCTATATAAATCCATGGTACGCCCACATCTTGAATACTGCGTGCAGATGTGGTCGCCCCATCTCAAAAAAGATATATTGGAATTGGAAAAGGTTCGGAAAAGGGCAATAAAAATGATTAGGGGCATGGTAGGCTATGAGGAGAGATTAATAAGACTGGGCCTTTTCAGCTTGGAAAAGAGACAATTAAGGGGGGACATGATTGAGGTCTATAAAATCATGACTGATGTGGAGAAAGTAAATAAGGAAGTGTTATTTACTCCTTCTCATAACATGAGAACTAAAGGTCACCAAATGAAATTAATAGGCAACAGGTTGAAAACAAACAAAAGGAAGAATTTCTTCACACAACACACAGTCAACCTGTGGAACTCCTTGCCAGAGGATGTTGTGAAGGCCAAGACTATAACAGGGTTCAAAAAAGAACTAGATAAATTCATGGAGGATAGGTCCATCAATGGCTATTAGCCAGGATGGGCAGGAATGGTGTCCCTAGCCTCTGTTTGCCAGAAGCTGGGAATGAGCAACACTTGATGATGACCTGTTCTGTTCATTGCCTCTGAGGCACCTGGCACTGGCCACTGTCAGAAGACAGGATACTGGGCTAAATGGACTTTGGTCTGACCCAATATTGCCATTCTTATGTTATGTACCATTTATGCTCCTTTCTATTTTACTCAATAGGATTTAACTTCCACTTTTAAAAGGTTGCTCTTCTGCCTCTAATTGCTTCTTTTACTTCGCTGTTCAGCCACAGTGGCTCTTTTTTGGTCCTCTTACTATGGTTTTTAATTTGGGGGTATACATTTAAGTTGAGCCTCTATCATGGCGTCTTTAAAAAGTTTCCATGCAGCTTGCAGGGATTTCACTTTTGGCACTATACCTTTTAACTTCTGTTTAACCAGCTTCCTCATTTTTGTGTAGTTCCCGTTTCTGAAATTAAATGCTACCGTGGTGGGCTGCTCTGGTGTTTTCCCCACCACAGGGATGTTCAATTTTATTATATTGTGGTCAGTATTACCAGTGGTTCAGCTATATTCACCTCTTGGACCAGATCCTCTGCTCCATCTAGAACTAAATCAAGAATTGCTTCCCCTCTTGTGGGTCCCAGGGCTAGCTGCTCCAAGAAGCAGCCATGTAAGGTGTCAAGAAACTTTGTCTCTGCACCCCGTCCTGAGATGACATGTACCCAGCCAATCTGGGGCTAGCAGACATTTATTAGGTGTATTACGGTAGGGCCCCAGTTGTGCTCGGTGCTGTACATTATTAGGTGCACTGTGGTCGCGCTAGGCGCTGTACATACACAGACAAGGAGGGGTCCCAGCACGGGCAGCGGGCGGACACTGGCGGAGGCTGGGGAACAGGCCCCCCTTGGGCCTCACCCACCGGGAGGCCCATGTCTTACCCCAGGAGCTGTGGCAGCCAATAGAATGTTACATGCAAATTCCCCCCCCCTCCCGCCCAGCAGAAGGGTGGTGATTGGCTGAGGTGTCCCTGCTCCTGGCGAACGGGATCACACCCTCTGGGGGACCCACGCGCCGGAGGGAGGGACAGCAGCAGGGGTCTCAGGGGAAAAGAGGCGGGGCGAACAGAGGGCCCGCCCCCACGACGACATCGGCCAGAAACCGGAAATCCTCCCCCCCCTATCTAGGAACTGCCCGGTGAACTCTCTGGTACTGGGGGGCGGAGCCATCTCGTCACGTCCGGTTCCGGGTGTGGGGGAAGTGCTTCCGCGGCGGCGCGGCCCCGAGGTGACCGCGGCGGGCATGGGGGCGCACCTGGCCCGGCGCTACCTGGGCGGCGAGGACGTGGAGCCGGACCCGCTCCGCATGCCGAGCTTCGACCCGGAGCTGGGCTTCGCGGAGCGCAAGGAGCGGGGTGAGCCCGGGGCACGGCGGCCTGGCCCCGCCCCTTCGCCACTGGCCCCGCCCTCCCCGGGGGGGCTCAGGCCCCCCCACCCCCTCCAGCGCAGAGGCCCGGGGGCCTGGCGGGGGGGGCCGGGGTGAGCCCCCGGGGGGAGGGGCCGGGGTGAGCCGGGCGGGCTGGGAGGTTCAGGGACCGAGGGGCGAGGGCGGAGCCCCCTGCTTCGAGCTGGGAGTAGCCCGTGGGGGTCCCGCCTGCACCGGCCCGGCGCATGGGGGGCAGAAGGGAGCCGATGTCGCCAATGTAGGGCCCTAATGTGGGGAGGGGGGGGAGCCTCCCGCAGGGCTCTGTCCTTGCTGCGGGGGAGGCTGGTGCCATTGAGCCTGTAGGGTCAGCGGATCCCCCTTCACCCTTGTTCTGGGTGAGTGTTTAACAGCTGCCTTGCCCCACCCCAGAGGTGGCCGCGTTTCAACACTGGAGGAGCGTCTGAACTGCCTGTTACAAGGGTCAGTCAGTGCTCTGCGTTGGAAGGACCGGTGTAAACCCAAGATCTTTACAGAGGGCAGCCGAACCCCGTCCTGTGTGTAGAGGCATCGATCCTGAGACAAGTATAAATAATAATCCGTGTAATTGAAATGGAGAGAGAGAGAGCTTGGAGCTAAAGACTCCTGACTTGTATCCCTAGCTCTCCCTCTGTGAGCCTGGACAAGTTGCTTCCTCTCCCCATGCCTCAGTTTCCCCTTGGGGCTTCATCAGAAGGGGTCCTGTATAGGGCGTTCAGAGTCCCACTCTGTGCCCGATCCACGTAGGAGGCAGCTGTTACGGGCCCCCCTGTGGAGCCTGGCTTTTTGCCCAGGAGGTGGGGGGACGCTCGTGTTTTTAGCTCTGGAGGTCCCAGGTTCAGTTCCCACGTCCTGCTCCCAGCCTCACCTCTGCCCCTCCTCTCTGTCCCCCGCAGTGATGGTAGCGACGCAGCAGCAGATGAATGACGCTCAGCTGCCCCTGGATCAGCGCGACTACTGCGCCCACTACCTCATCAAGCTGATGAAGTGCAAGCGCGACAACTTCCCCAACTTCCTGGCCTGCCAGCATGAGCGGCACGACTGGGACTACTGCGAGCACCTTGAGTACGAGGCCACCTGTGCCGGGGAGCTCCTGGCACCATCCACAGGCTACTCCAATCCCAGGGCCACAGAGCTGGGGGTGGCAGCCCTAGGGGTAGAGAGAGGCAGCATGGCCTAGTGGAGAGAGCACAAAGGAGACCAGGGTTTCTATTCCCAGCTCTGCCACCGGCGTCCTGGGTGACCTGGGGCAAACTGGCCTGCTTTGCGTGGTATTTTGAGATCTACTGATGAGAGGTGCTGCCAGAGCTAGGTGTGATTGGCACCTGCCCTTCCCACATAGGGTATTTAAGCCGAAGAATGTGCTGATGGTCCCCAGTAACCAGCTATGGCAGGGGTTTAGCACAGAAATAAACCGTCTCCTCTCTCCCTCTTTGCGGAAGCCATCTCAGAATGCAGCATTCTGGGCCATTGCTGATTCCCTGGGCTCCACTGATATGGCTAACCCTGCAGGATGGTGATGAAACACATGCGTAGTGCCCTTCCCACAGAGGGTCAAGCCCTGGGCCTAGGCTGAGTAGACCCCAGGGAGTGAAGGGAGGGGTACTACATAGAATGTGGTTATGTGGTTGGCCTGGCTGTGTCACCGTGGGGATTGTGGGTTGGAGGAGGGATCTGGAGGTGGAAGATGTGGGGCAGAGGATTGTGGGGGGTGGAGGGGCCAGAGATCCCAGGGATTGGTTTAAAGCAGTGAACCTAATTTCAGTGAGCCCCCCCAGCAAGTGGGACAGTCAAACAGCTCTGAGATCTGCCTGTACCTAATGCAGAGTGTGCCAGTCTGCCCCTGCAGTGTGGGGTGCAGCATGCCGGGGCAGGGGCTTGCTTCTAATGGAGATGCAGGTGGACCCCCACCCCCGACTAGTGTCTCCTCTCCCCCCAGCTACGTGATGCGTATGAAGGAATTTGAGCGGGAGCGGCGCTTGCTGGTGAGGAAGAAGAGGCTGGAGCAGGAGAAGGCGGCTGGAGCATAGCAAAGCCCCGTGTCCCCATCCACATGAGAGGCTGGAGGAATCCTCTACTTGTGTCATATGTAAGGGAATAAATAATGGCTCATCAGCATCTGGAGTGGTGACTGGAGTGGGGTGGGCAGGGCAGGGCATGAGCGCGTATCGCACTGAGGCTGTAATGCCCCATCACTGCAGGTGCTGGTAGGGATGGGGAAGCCAGGGTGACTGAGGTAATCTCTCTCACTGGACCAGCTTCAGAGCTTCTTCAGATTTGGACCTGAAGTTATGGGAGCAGAGAGCGGTGGCATAGAGTGGGAGGCGTCAGGACTCCTGGGCTACGTTCCCATTAAGCTGCGTGGCCACGCAGCTGCCTGTTAAACCCTGTGCAGAGGCTCAGGGCTGTGGTGGGGAGAGGTGCTCGTCCATGCCGGCCCCAGCACAGTCCTGCCTGGGGCGAGGCGCCCCTCCCCGCTGGCTCCAGCGGACCTGCCCTGGACTTGCCATGGCCTGGGGAGAGGCACCGCACCCTTGGCCCAGCCCAGCCCTGCCCTGCCCCGAGCTGCTGCAGCAAGAGAGGGCTGAGGGGAGTCCTCTCTCCTCACCGTAGCCTGGGGGCAGCCCGCACCCCAAAGCCCTCACCCCCCAAACCCTCTGCCCCAGCCCTGCGCCCCCTCCCACACTCCAGTGTGCTTGGCCCCACCCCCACATTAATTTTATGTGCACCAATATGAAGGTGATATGTCACCTCATCTCCATATTGGTGCACATAACAAAATTCATTCCGCACATGGACATAAAAAATTAGAGGGAACACTGGTCCTGGGTTCTGTTCCTGCTCTGGGAGGGGGACATGGTCTAGTGACTAGAGCCAGGAGTCCCTGGGCTACCCCCTCTCCCCTCAGTGAGGGGGTGATGCTCTGCTCCTCCCAGAGTTGGAGTGTGTGTGGTTGCGACATGTGTAAAGCACCCTCTGGCTGCCTCAGCACCGACGAGCTCCGCTGGGCTCAGACGCACTCATGCTCTTTGCTGTGAGTTCCAGTTCCCACAGGCACTTGGCTCAGTTCTTGCCCTGGCAGCCAGTGCTGGGAATCTACCCCCGGCCTGGAGCCTGCTCAGACTCGCTCCCTGCTCTCCGTGTGGGGAACCTTTGGACTGAGGCCATGTCTACACTGCACGCACTGCCATGGCACAGCTCCCGTAGTGTCGACATGCACTAAAGCCAAGGAAGGGTTTTATGGCACCCATCTTGCTAAGTGATGGTCACGCTAGCTGTGTCCACAGTGGGGGTTAGGTTGGCACAGCTCTGACTCAGGGGGGTGGATTTGTCACACCCTGAGCCCAGCTTCCCTTGCCCCTCAAGGGCATGTGGGGGCAGCATGCTGTCAGCTGCTCTGGAGAGCCTAGGGTGTGCTGCACCTGCCCAGGGGACTATTTTCTTGCTTCCCTGCCCCTGCCATGGCCTTGGAGAAATGTCTGCCAGCAGCAGAGGGCAGAGCTAGGCTTGCTTCATCCCAAGTGCCTAGTCTCTGCTGCTGCTGTTGTGTACAAAGAAGCCAGAGCTGCCCCTCCCCAGCTGTGCTGCATGGCTGGGTGCAGGGAGGCATGGGTGGCATCAGCTGTGGCTGCACCTGGCCCTTAAGTAGGGCACAGTGCCTGCTGTTCAGGGGCAGGGGCCATGCAAAGAGCACCCCACACATGCCTAGAGCCCAGCTGATCCCCTCTGTAGAGGTGGGGGGGAGCACTGAGACATGGCTGGGCAGGGGCTGGCTTGGTTTATTGCTGTGTCTTGGACAGGGAGAATGATCCTGGACACACGCTTTGGCAGAGGCTCCTTGCAGCTCCTGTGCTAGGGCAGGGCCATTTTCAGTCCTACTTGCGTAGTGGTTGCTGCTCTGGGGGGGGCCTAGCTGGAGCAAGACGCTAGTTCAGCTGTCCAAATCAGAGCCACGATGGGACAAAACAGCGGCCCAAGGAAGCGAGCCTGGCTTATAGCAAGGAATCCTGGGCACAGGGGCCATGATGCATTCATGCTGCAGTGGAGGTGTGGTGGCACGCAGGGAGGCCCCTGTCCTAGGTGCAGCCCCTCTGGGAGACTCAGAGCTCCAGGTGTAGCCATTCAGAGAGGAAGAGCCTGGCCCCTGGCCAGTCTCTGCCCTCCCTGACCCCTTGCCCCATTGGTTTCTCTCCTGCAGACCCCAGAGCCTTCCCCAGGACTCCTCTCAGTGATGGGTTACTTAGCCCAGCCCTCCCCCCGGGGCCTGTGCCTTGTCCAACATGCACCAAACCCCCAGGGCAGGGAAAGACCAGCTCTTCAGGGCCACCCCTCACTCCCCAGCAATCACACGGAGTAAGAGCAAAGGAGACAGAAGCAGCCAAGGAGCCAGTGCAGGAGGGAGCTGAATGGCCTCACCCCATGTCTTTATTAGAATAGCCTGCTCTAGCCCCTGCCATCCCGGCAGAGCCAGGCCTGAGCTACAGCCTGGGACTGCAGGCCAGGGCAGCTGCTCAGCAACACGGGGAAGGATAGAACAGAAGAATGGTACAAAAGAAAACACTTTACTGTGCTTACAATTAACGGTGCTGGCCTGAGTCAAGCAGCTGCCATCTGAGCTCCCCCACACAGCCCTGCTACTGCCCCTCAATCTTGACCTGCTGCTCCTTGCTTTCCCTACACAGTAGTGCTGTTACTCTTCCCTTTTCTCTTGTCACCCCACTCCTGGCTCAGTTCTGCCCCACACCACCCCCACCTACCACCCTGCCTTAGTCCTGACTCCTGCTTGTCCCAGCATGAGACCCTGGAGCATCATTTTAAACAGACTGATCTGTAAACTCGCTGCCCAGGGGGCCTGCTCCAGGCCTGATGCCCTTAACACCTGGGCCAGCAGAGCACAGGGGAAAGGCAGCCTGGGGCTAGGGGACTGACCAGACCCTGCCAGCCTTAGCTACCATCCTGCCCTCTTTCCATCAGCCTGGGGTGCAGGGTAGAAGCCAGAGCCCAGCCGTGTCTTGCAGCAGCCCCCTGGCTCCCTGGGCAGCTTTAGAAGGAGAGGAGTGCTGAACAGGGCCCATGCCTCAGCCCAGCACTCGCCCCCGAGGCCCTGCCATGGAGATATGACCCAGGAAAGAAGTTGTCTTCCTGCTCAAGAGCCTAAAATGAGGCACCTATGATCCTGAGCTGATACCTAGAGAAGGGGCCTGGTCTCCAGTAGGGCTGAGCACCTGCCACTCCCACCAGCTCCACTGGGGGCACGAGCGCTCAGCTCCTCTGGGATCAGGCCGCATTGGCAGGTGCCTAGGGCCAGGTTAGATGCCTGAGGTTAGGCCAGAGTCCTTCCTCCAGGCCACAGCTCTGAGTGGTTGCATCCAGCCAGAGGCAGCTGCAGCTTCTCCCTGGGTTAGTTTCCAGTTAGGCAGGGTTGTAGATCTGGGCTCACTGGGTGCATGGCGCAGCTGGAGGAGAGCATGGAAACTAGCTCTGAGCAGGGCTTGGATGTTGGCTTCCCTGGGAGGGTGGGGCCAGCCCCCACAGGAGCACAGGGGCAGCTGCAGAAACCCCAGCAGCGAGGAGGGTGAGAGTTTGCACAGCTTCCCCCGAGCCCTGTGCCAGCTGGCCAGATGAGGGGTGCAGAGACCCCCGTGGGGAATGGGCTCCTCCCTGGACTGCACCAATACACAAAGCCCCAGCAGCCCCTGGTGGCTCAGAGCAGGAAGGGGATGATAGGTGAGCGCAGGGGTGGGTAGTCCCGGAACTCCTTCAGGTAGCTGCGGTGCTTCCCCTTCGCCCAAATGGTCATTTGGATGAAGCCAACCAGAGAGAACAGGGCCACTGTGAGCAGAGAGGAAAATGGTGAGGAATGGGGGGGGCACTCTCTTGGCCCCCCCAGCATCACCCCCACCCTACAGTCCTGAGGGGACCCTACTCCAGGGGTTGGATAGGTAAACAGGACCTTGCGGGTCAGCTCTCCCCTTGCCAGGGGGGTTGGCACAACTGCGTGCCCTGCTCCTGTTGGCCACCTCCACCGAGGAGTGTCAGCACCTCTCACATTGCAGCAGGGGCTGGCAGGACCCAGGTAAACAGTCATGGTGCCCTGGGCCCAGCTGAGTCAGCCTCCTGGCATCCCGGCCGGAGGCGGCAGCAACACTGACTCAGGTTCAATGGGAAGGGTCAGGTTGAAAAAACGACTCGAGCCGCTTGGGCTTGGCTCTGGTTCGGCTCGGACGTAAAATGAGAGCTGCCCCCTTGGGCCAGCCCCCACACTAGCTCCCCTCCTCCTCCCACCAAAGGGACTAAGAACCAGATGTTGACAAGATGTGGTGCCTGCATTTCCCTAAGGCAGCAGCCGGGGGCTTCTGCCTGATGGGCTGGAGGCCCCTGGGCAGTGCCACTCCTGAGAAAAGGCAGCCAGCGGATGCCAGGGAAAGCAGCTCACAGCAGGGCAAATCATCCAAGAGCCTCGGCTGCAGGGCAGCTCATGCTGCAGTCTTTGCTTCACCTACTCCCTGCAGACCGGGGCAGGTCCCTCAGAGCTGGGCACCAGGACGAGCCTCGAGCGCAGGAAGCCTAGGGAGGTGGGCTATGAACCCAGCTCATCCTACTTGCCAGGAACTGGGCTGATACCCAACAAACTCCTTGAGTGTGGTCAAGTAGACAGGGGTGGGAATCAGGATTCCTGGATTCTATTCCCCATCTACAACGACTCCTCAGGCAGGTCCCTTGGCCTGCCTTTGCCTCGGTTTCCCCCTGCGAGAGGGAGATGATCTCTGTGACATGCTGGGAGCCCTATTGCTGGCCATGTAGGGGCTTATTGTTCCCACAGAACAAGGATGGGTGGCCCTGGCAGCAAGAAGGCAAGACCCGCCTGGCCTGTGCCCCCTGGACGTTGTGGGGAGACAATGTGGCATCCCTGGGCCCTGGCGCCTTCCCCCACACCGCGCTCACCTGGGAGACACTGGGTCATGATGGCGAAGCCGATCCAGGAGCCCAGCTGGAAGGGAAGCAGCTGCAGTTAGTGCTGGGGAAGCCAGGGGCTGGGCAGAAGCCTCCCCCCGCATGGCCACAGGGGAGGCCAGGCCCCGGCAAGTGGCGCTCATTCACAGAAAGGGGGCACTCAGTCAAGTTCACTGAGCCATTTGCAGCCAACTGACCAGCCCACATCAGGACTTTTAACATACCTGTCCCTGGGGTGGGGGGAGAGACAACTGAGCTGCGCAATACAACCCCTGGTACACGGGGAAGCAGCCTGGTGACACTGGCCGCTAAGACTCCCTGCACTCGCCTCTACGCGAAACGCCCCTGCCAGGCCCCAGCTCTGACGCCCTCATGGGCAGGGAGAATGATTGTGGGAAGATGGACTGGCCTCTGGGTGGGGGCACATCCTGGGCTCCAGCAGGGCACCTCACAGCCTGCTGCCTTGGCCAAGCAGGACTTCACCAGCTAGGCATGCACTTAATGCTGGCAATCCCATCCCAGTGCCTACCTGCTGCCCCTGCCCTGGGCTTCTCCCCCCATCTCTGCCAGTGCCCCTCAAGCCCAACCCAGTCCCCTGCTATCCCAGCTAGTACAGGGCTGTTGTGAGCAGGAGCTGCAGACCCTGTGACACAGAGCAATGCCCCCAGCCACCACACATTATTAACCCATAGTGCCCCAAGCCGCATGCCCAGAGCATAGGTGGCAGTGGGAGGCAGGGACTCCAGCCCAGCCGGTGAAGTGCTCCCTCCAAATGGGCACAAGCTCAGCACGCCTGCATCAACTGCATTCTCTGTGCAGAGTCTGCTGCGCCCTCCTTTACATGGACTCAAATGGCAGCAGCAATCTCAGACCCTCCTGGGGAGGGGCTGTCCAGCACTGGGGGTGCGGGTGCCCGCCTGGAGGGGTGACCTAATGCCCAGGGGCTGGAAGTATAGTCAAAGGGGCCAGTTCTCAGGGGAAATCCTTCCCCCACCCTGTGCCCCCTATGGGGAGGGAGAAGCTAGGGCAGGAATAAGGGTGCTGGGGATGATGGGACTGGCAAGGGGAATTTCACCCCCTCACCTACACCAGGGATCAGGAGAGGGCAGGGCACTCCCCAAGCTGAGATCAGGGCAGCAGGGGGACCTGGTCTCCCCAGCAATGGGGAGTCCCCAGCCCTGGCAGCAGTTGAGTTGGAGGAAGGGGTGGCTGGGCACATGCAAGGCGGCTGCCAGCCTGGGCAGAGAAAGATCCCTTCCTGGCAGGTGAGTGGCACTCCAGCAAAGGGACGAGCTCTCAGGAAGCAGAGCCATGGAGGGTGGTGCCTGGAGAACTGACTCATGCCCAACTTTAGGAGTCATGATGGTCAAATTCAGCCCCCCCGAACCCAGCTCTGCCAGGGCCTGGGAGCCTAGAGTTGGCTGGAGGTACAGCCCCTGAACACCCAAACCCCTTGTGAGCATCACCAACACTGCCAAGTTGGAGCTGGCTTCAGGACCGAGGCTTTGCTGGTGGTGCCAGGCTGGGCATTTGCGGCCATTTCGCCTCATCAGCTCCAGGAGCTATGCAGGGCTGGGCCAGGCAGAGCACAGGTGCATGCTAATGGCTGCTGCTGATTTAATAGGGGCGCTGTCCTGCAGGCAGTGGCGTGGGGAGTTCAGCAGGGGGTGCTCTGCTCTCTCAGTCAGGGCTGACTCCAGTACAGCACACGGGGGCGCTGTCCTGCAGGGAGCAGAGTCGAGAGCTCAGCCGGGGGGCATTCTCCCTTCTCAGTCAGGGCTGACCCCGGTGTGGCACTGGGGGGGCTGTCTGACAGGGAGTGGGGTGTGAAGTTGAGTAGGAGGCGCTCTCCCTTCTCAGTCAGGGCTGACCCCAATGTCCTAGCGTAGCACTAGGGGTGCTGTGTCGAGTGAAAGCGAGGTCCCAGCTATTGCTGATCACTGGCACTTTTCCCAGAAGCAGGGCTGTTAACTCCCGGTTATCTGGCCAAATTCAAGTCCTACCACCTTCTGAATTCCCCCTGTAGTTTCAGTTAGACAAGGGCATTCTCCCTAATGTGCTCAGCTGTGTGGCTGTTAAGCCACTGCTGCGTTCCACCCCAGACAGTTGCATTTCTGGGGTGAACAGTGACACAAGCTTGTTATTAATTAACAGCAAGCAGGAGGCAGGTAGAAGGTCATTTTCTAGCCACCTGTCTCAGGGAGGGAGCTGCAGCTCATGGAGATGCTTCCAATGAGACCAGAAACAAGATCTGTGGGTCGGGGGGGGGGGGGGCTAGTGCCAGGCAGCCCTCGGCTCAGGGAGCCTGCCAGTTCGCTGCAGGCAGGGGGACGGGGGGGGGAGATGCTCACCTCATAGGTATAATTAGGACATGACACTAGCAAGAAGAGCCACGTGAAGGGATTCTTAGTGGGGTATGGGATCTTCCTGGTCTTGGAGCCTGGGAGGGAGAGAAGCAGAAATCCAGCATGGATTTATTTCACATGAACAGTGACCCCCCCCGCCCCACCTCCCAGGGAGTGGCATCAGCTTTCTGGGGGAACATGCAGGCACTGGGAAGACAGCCCTGTCAGACCGTTCTCCAGGAAGATGCTGCTGCAGGACCTCGGGATCGGGTGTCAGATCTCCAGTCACACACAGGCCAGTGCTTCCTGCAGCCCACTGGAGCCCGAGGCAATGGCATGTTCCCCCATCCCTGCTCTGCTGCACTGGGCACCATCGGGGTGACCATCGGACACATGGGGCTGATGGGGCAGTAAAGAGGCAGTGTGCCAGGCTGGCCAGGACTCAGAGAGTTCCCCCACCCCCTCCCCGGCTGCTGGGACTACACAGATCTGGGACAGCCACATCCCGGTCAGGGTGCCATGTCCTGCCCAGAGGGGCTGAGGCCTCCACGGTGCTTGTGCCTGGAGATCGAGGATCTGCCAGCCAGGCTGTTCAGACACTGCTATGAACCAGTCACTGGAGCCACCAGCGTCCAGATGGAGGCGTCTGCACTGGGAGGGCAGGTGTCCTCCGCAACCCAGGAAAGCCGTGGGGGTTTAGAGAGAAACTTGTCTATCGCTGCCCGTCTCTGTCTCTGAGGATGTTTATAGGGGGCCTGAGGAAGACAGGGGGTTTTCTCCTGTGTTTCTTACATTAAACGTTCAGCAAGACCCTGGGGAGCTGGGAGGACAGAGAGCAAGGATGAGAACCCTCTGTGAACGGGAGCCAGGGGCATGGGGGGATGGATTTTCACTCAGACTACGCCCTGGACCCAGAGTGCGCTCCCAATCCCCATACCTCAGCCAGGGATACAAGCAGGCCCCACCCCCACCCTCAGGCTGCCCTCGGACTGACCATCCTTGCCCCGTCACCCCTGAGCGACTGAGGCCCTGGGAGGGCCAGCGGGGCCCCACCCCCACTCACCCGCCGGCCGCAGGTTCCGCAGAGCAATGTGAATGGAGAAGTTCCCCAGCTGGCAGAACTGGGGGGGGGAAAAGCAGAGGAGCGATCAGTGCCCTGGGTCTCAGCAACCCCCTTTCCTCTCCCTGGCCTGGGGGTTCAACCCCCCTTGCAGTGGCAGCATCCCCCATCAGCTCAGAGGGGCATGGGCCTGGAAGGGCATTGGTCTGGCAGCATTCTCACAGTGGCAGCACAGAGCTGTGCCACCCACCACCCATCCTCCTGGCACCCTCATCCCTCCCTCTCCCCAGCCCCACACTCTGGCACCCTCATTCCCCCCCACACACCTTAGCACACCCTGGGAGTACCCCCCTTGGTACTTCTGCCCAAGCCCAGCTGAGCAGCCTCCTTCCCTCCCCGCCACGGCCGGTGGCTCTTACCAGGAATATAATGAGCGCCAGCTTCACCTGCTTGTCTCCGTAGGCTGTGGGGGAGAGGAAGGGCAGAGGTCAGCCTGGCACGGGGGGGGGGGGGGGAGAGGGAGAAGAGCACTCACATCACGGGGCGCCAGGGGTGAGTTTACAGGGTCAGAGCCTGGCGTCTGCGTAGGGAACATGCTAGCACATGGTCAGCAGGAGGAGCACATAGCCCTACTGCAATAATGGCTCGGAAAGAAACAAAAATTCATAGCAAGGGTGGATCTGTTAAGTGCCCATGAAAGATACCAGATTAACACCCCTAGGCCCGGTGCACATCCAGAGCCGGGCAGCACGGTGACCTTCCCTGTTCACCCCTCCTCTCTAAGGGTGAGGGCAGTGCAGTCCCAGGGGGCCCTCTTCTTCCAGGGTCAGAGCCAGCTAGAGTAATGGACCTGAGCGAGCAAAGGGGGGTGAAGTCGCTGGGCAGGGGTTATGGTACAAGATGCCGGGGGGGGGCAGGGAAACATCTGGACCGCACACTCATCAGTGCATGGAGATGAAGAGAAGGAATCGAGGTCACGGGCTGCTGCAGGAGTGAAGGAAAGTTCAATGGAACATGACATGCAAAGAGGAGAGTTTGGGCTTGTTCATGTGGGTTTTTAACCCTTTACGATGCAGGAAGGGACAAAAGGCCTTTAATTAAACAAAACACTGGCTGCTGCTTGTTTTTTACACTAGCAAATCAGGTCTGATCACCGGGGGGGGCTCTGGGGACAGCTGGGGAGCTAGGCAGTTTACGACTAGAGATGCCAAGGAAACGAGACTGATAGGGAAGCAATTTTTCACCCATTTGTTTAAAACTGACATCGGATTTCAGGGCCAGGAGGAACTGTTCTGCCCATTCAGACTGACCCCTGCCTAACCCAGGCCAGAAACCCTGCCCCCTGCACCAACACCTGGTCCAGAACTTGTGTCCGAGCTAAAGCAGAGCTTTGAGAAACTCGTCCAAGATTTGAAGTCTCCACGTTCCAGTGAGCGAGTCGTTCCAAGGGATAGTTACCCTCCTTGTTAAATGTTTGCACCCTATTTCCAGGCTGAGTTCAGCTACCAGCCATTTATCCTGGCTTGGGCTGTGTTTGCTGTAACGCACAACTATTTAATTAGCACATTTGGGAGAAAACCCCTGTGTTAGCCATGCAGGTCCCTCCATTCAGGGCTGATAGTGCTCCCAACCCACACCTCCGAGCCACCACTAAGTCCTGCAGAGACACAAGCCAGACTAGCCTGAAGCCTGGACTTGCCCAATGTCTCTAAGACCTTGGCTACGCTAAGAAGGTGTGCTAGGGACAGGTCTGCCGGCACAGTGCTGCTAACACAACTATCTCTGCAGCATGTGGTCACACTCGGCTGCTTGTGCGAGCGCCTTGTGACCTCACGGTTGTATCAGCAATAGCATGGTGGGTAGGATCCCAGTGTTTTCACATGCCACGCAGACACACTGCCTTGTGGGAAACAGTGCTGTGCGGCAGCCGCTGTGCATTGTGGGATACCCGCACACCTCTCATGGAATTGGGGGGGCTGAGCAAGGCAGCGGAAAAGGAAGGACAGCCCCTGAGGCGATCGGTCTGTCAGAGAGAAGGGCTGGAATCGCATAGCGCCCTCTAGGGCACAGAGAGAGGCAAGGCAGCGGTGAGGGGTCACTTACTTGGCGGGGTGTACAGCGGGTGGTTGATGTAATACGCCATCCAGGCCGCAAAGCCCCAGTAGTAGGTGCAGTTCTAGAGACAAATCAGGAAATGCTCTTTTAATACAGGCTCCACTAACGAGACGAGTCAAAGGGATCCCCCAGGCAACTGCTGCCCTAGTCCCCTGGCTGGCAGGCCCTGCACTTCCCTCACTTCACTTCCCCTGCCCCACCCCTCCACCCCGCTCACCTTGAAGATGTTACGCAAGGGCATCGTCCCGTGGGAGAACCGATGGACAAAGAGGGTCTCCAGCAGGCGCTTGATGTAGTGGAACGAGTGGCAGATGCAGGCCAGGCTGGAAGGGAGGCACAAGGGTGCTAGTGGGTACCAGTGCCACTGAGATACGGGCTGGGGGTACGTTCCCCCCTACGGAATTGTTCTGAGCTGGCAAGTCCCCTGCGTCCCACCAGAGAGCACCTGCCAGATCCCCTGAAGGCTCCTCCCCAGCACGACTGGACAGGGGCCGTGCTGGAGCCTAAAGCAGACCACCCTTGATGAGCCACAAGATGCTCTGAGGGTCCTAAACTGTTCCCTCCTGCCAGGGATCAACTGAGTTTCCAGTGCAACAGCTCAGAGCACTTGCCAGTCCCTAGTCCCTCTCCAAGGCCTGTCCATGGGCTGAATATCCAGTGGCTGCAATGATGGCCAGATCCCAGACTGCCTGAAGAGGCCGGCAGGGAAATCTCACGGGCACTGCATCCCTGTAGGGGTGAGATTTTCTCTTCCCCACTCATCCCACTCTAGAGAGGAGGCCAATCCAGGGGCTGCAGGCCTGGCCTGGGAGGCACGGCCCCTCCAGGAGTGGGATGCACGTCCCATCTGTTTGTTTTCCTAGGACTCAGGTTTTCTACAGGGTCTCTGCCCCCAACAGCTCAGGAGAAGGCCCAGATCCCAGGGCACAGCACCAGCGCAGGCTAAGCAGACGCAGTGACGGGCCCCTGGCCGGTACTCACTGCACGACCGAGTGCTTGCTGGAGGTGAAGTCATACTTGGGGCCGTAGATGAAGGGCACTCGGAAGTAGAAGAGCAGGTAGATAAGCAGGGGCCCAGCATACTCGGTGAGGAAGACCTGAAAGGCAGAGCACGCTGTGAGCACAGGGGGGTGTCTATGGGCAGCGGGGCTCTCTCAGGCAGACCCGTGTCACTGCTCACCGTCACCCAGCTGATCTGCGCACCCAGGTCCCGGAAGTACAGCGTGGCTGTGGTGCCCACCGGCAGGTTCTGTAGCACGTCCTCATCCTTCAGGGACTTCCCCTCTGGAAGGAGAGCGGAGACTCAGAGAGGACAATGGGCGGAGAGGGTCCAACCGGGACGCCGATGCAACATGTTACCCTGGCATCAGTTCCGTGGCAACGTGCCTGAGTGATCCCAGCCCCCTGAAACACGGCCTTGCTCTCCTGTTTGCTGCAGCACAGCGACACCCCCATGAAAAGCCATGTGGAGAATGGACCAAAGCCCCTGCTGCTGGGCAGAGCACTCTCATCCTGGATGTTCACGCTCCCCTGCATACAAGCTGGGAAGCCCACGGGGCCCTTCCCCAGAAGTCTGGGTCTTCCTAGAGCCCTAGTCCTTTGGTGGTCGATCAGATCTCTCACCCTTTGGAACAGCGTCAGCACCTGCCCCACAGGCCCCTGTGGCTCGTGTTCCCCTCAGGCCCTTTCCCCACCCATGGGGCGCACGATGAGCAGCAGCAGAGAGGTGTGCCTGGGAACAGACACGGCGAGAGCGGTCAGAACCCACATGGCGCTCTAACTTACTGGGGTCAAGGCGGAGGGACTGTCGGGCTGGGTACCACTGGGGATCTGCGGAGAGAAAAGCAGAGACAATGGCATCACCCCTGTGGCTCCAAATCCCTGACTCTGCCAACTGATCGGCACCAAACCACGCTGCTGTTATGGAGATAAGTCCACCCACACAGAGACTCACGAGGCTGAGCTGGGCCTTCAGGCACCTTGCTAAGGGCAGAAGGCAACAGGCTGGCTCCTGCCTTGGTGGCTCCTGCTGTTGATGGGTCGCCAAGCCCATTGCCCAAGCACTGAAATGTCAGGGTGATGCCCCCCCAGCCAGTACAAGGCCCAGGCGCCTGCTATGCCCCATTTTGAGGACTCCTGTGGGACACAAGCATTGCCTACACTTTGTGCTGGCCCGCTGCACAGGAGGAATTTCACTCAGCGATCTCAGGGCCTAGATGCTGTGGTGACGGGCGCACAACGAACACCGCAAGCTGCAGAGGTTTCTCACCACCCACTCGGAAGCTGGTCAAAGTCTGCCATCATAAACTGGCTGTTGGCGGAAAATTGGATTTTTGACTGAACAAAATTTTTCAGGAGAAGTGGCGGCTTCCCGTGGGAAACTGTTTTTTCTTACGCTCCCCCTTACCACTCCGAATACTTGATACCTTCCTGAGCTCATGGGGCATACAGCACAGCCTGTTCCACCGCCGCTCAGGCCAGGCCTGGGCCCAACGGGATGACACTAGACAGCACCAGCTAGGAGCGAGGTCAGGAGAGCCACAATGTCTGTCTGTGCTCAGCTGCCTCAAGAAAGGGCCCCCTCCATATGCCCATTGCACAGGCAGCTCAGGTGCAAAGGCCCAACGTTGCAGGGCACTCAGCACTCGTGTTTGGTGGGGACAGTCCCACGGGGGCAGTGACCGGGGGGGGGGGGGGGAGTCTGATGAAGTGGGGGTGCAGGGCCGACACAAGCAAGCTCACTCCATACGTACGAGACTTGGTGAAGAGGTTCTTGATTTCGGCGATCGTGGCATTGGGCTCCACCTGCAGAGAAGCAGACAGAAGTGACCACAGTCCTAGGGGCACAGAGTGCGGGTCTGATCCGCTGCCACGGACATCAGCAGGAGCTTGGCTACAGACTTCCCAGGCCCCATAACCTTATACCCGGGGTCTGGGAAGAGACTCAGTGAACTCTGCCAAGGTTCTGCTCGACCCTCAGGGCTCTGATCAAAGAGACAGCGCAGCACTGGAGTCCCTGTGTTTGCCTTTGGAGCTTGCCAATACAACGGGCTGTTTCATAGTTTTCTCTTTGCTGCCAGTGCCACAAATGCCCAGCAAGCTTCGAAGGTCGAGCCAGGCTCTCCATGGGCCACGCGCTGCCCCAGGAATAGAGATTCCGCGGTCGGAATGCGGTTAACAGTTTGGACCATGGTGCACAAGCCGGAAGGAGCTTGACCTGGCCTCCAGACCAAAGCAAGCAATAAAACCTTAGAGGGATTCCAGTGGCAGCAGCCAGGCAAACTGTTCCCCAGGGAGGTGGCTGGGAGGTGCCCTGATGCTTTGGGCTTCTGTAAATAGAAAACAGATACACAAACTCTCCTCCAGCTGCAGCGTGGTACAGGCAGCACGAGCTAGTGAACAGGGTAGGAACGCAGGCCACCTGGGTTCTACTCCCAGCTCTGCTACTGACATGCCATGTGACCTTGGGCAGTCACTTACCCTCTCTGTGCTCGTTTCCTCCTCACCCAACCTATCTTGTTTACTTAGACTGGAAGCTCTTTGGGGCAGGGATTCTCTCTCCCTCTGTGTTTGTGCAGCACGCAGCACAATGGGGCCCTGATCTCAGCTGGGGCCTGTTGTAATAACTGGGCCTACAAGCGTACCCTAACTGGGAGCTCCTCTCTAAAAGGCAGCGTAAGTTCATAAGATGTCAAATAACCTATAACAATGTATGCTGATGGGAAAAGGTGCAAAAAAAAGAGACACACTGAGTTATCCAAACAAAAAGGCCTCTCAAGGTAATGCAAGGACCATTAAGATCATGCCTGGGAAACACAAAAAGAGGGGGACCAGAATTCAGTGAACGAATCAAGTCTAACCGGTGGACAAAATAACGAGGGGCTGGGCTATTCCACCCACCATTTACCTTGGGGTCCTCAAAAATAAGATTTTGGGGAGAAAAAATTGGCTATTGAGTGAGCTGCCACCTGCACCGTTTCCCAGGACTCTGAACCTTACTAGACCACGCCAGAGAGCGGGAGCCAGACGACATCGCCAACTCCACCAGCTCTGGCTGAATCCCAAATACCACTTGGGATGTGACCCTTTGTCCCCCCTCCCCACCTTATTTCTTCTCTTTCCTCTCTCACTTCTTTTGCCTTCTATCTAATAAGAGTCTGGCTTAGCTGGCCACAATTGCTTATTTTGCAACACAACTATGAGTCTGTGACCAGAGACAGACAACTAAACACAATGCCCATCACCATAACTGCCCAATGCTGGTACAAGTTTGCCAGGTCTTAGAGTGGCTAATCAGACCATCTGCTGGGCCCGTGTTTCTCCAGCAGTGACACGGCAAGTGAGAGCCAACCCCAGAGACCGAAGCTGCATTTTTTATCTTTGCTGTTCTTTTCTCTCCCCTTTTGTGTGTTGGTCTTGTTTTGGTGTCAAGGAAATGAGATCAGGCTTTATCAACAGCTCCAGCTCATTCTTAACTCACTTCTTCTCTTTTCCCCCCAAAAGGGCAGTTATCACCATTTTGATACCATCTAGTCTGACAAGAGGGTTTTTCCTTCTAAAAACTCTATCCCACTAAAGAGGAAGGGAACAAGGGACGCTGCTGAAATGAAAGCCTAGCTTACTACTTTACATTTTAAATGCTTTAACTGTTTTTCCCTCTTTTCTCTACCTTTAATACCACGTTAAAAGGATTGATAATGGCATGTTTGCCATGGTACTATGCAGGCTGAAGTCTCTGCCAAACCCCATCCCTTGTTTAACATTGTTTAATGCTGGACAATGACAGATCATGTCAACACCTTTGACTCTTTGGGCCCCTTTATTCCATCTAAATTAATACAGCAGGCCTCTCGCTGCTATCGTAACACATCTAATAGCAGTCAGCACCAACTCACAGGGCTCAGGAAGGAACCTCTTTCAAGGGCAAGTAATTCCACTGGGGTGTTTTCTGCTCCATTCTCTGAAGCAGCTGAGATACCGGACTAACTGGGCCATTGCTCTGATAGTCCTTGTACAAAGGTCGAAGCACAGCTGCTGTCAGGGTTTGCAAGACGCCGAGTTAGGAAAATGGTTTCAAAGGGAAGGGTTGTTCTCCCACGCTAGTTCTGGGCCTGATCCTGGCAGGCATGGAGTCCACGCCCTGCTCCCCAATGGGTCTGATGCGAGGCTGTGCTGAGTATTACTGTGTACACAGCATGTCAGCAGCTGGGTGAAGCTGGTCACAGATCAGCACTCTGCTGCTCCTCGCGCTGGTTCCTCCCATTTCTCTCACTGAGAGTGACAGCTTTCACACACAGCTCCTGGGAACCTTCTGTTCCCCTAGGACCCCTCCCACCTTCAGTCCCAGTGTCCTCCCTGGGCGGATCCCAAAATGCAGACTGTGCCTGGCTAAAGGGTGTTCTGTGAATCACCGCAGGACCAGACACTTACATTTAAGGAGGTTGTGGCCACTGCAAACCCAGCTAATCCAAGCAGGTGCTGGTGTAGGGTGTCTACAGCAGCTGACAGCCACTTCCACAGTGGGGAGACCAGGCTCCCGCCTGAGAAAGCTCTCCAGCCAGCCAGCGTAAGTCAAAGGAACCCAAACAAACAGAAGCTGCTCAGAGCAGAACTGGACTTGTGCATTTCGTTGTGGGCCCAGGAGGAGTCTTTCTGGCCCTCCTCGCAGGACTGTGTGTTGCGAGTACTCCAGAGCATGGGCCAGGGGTTTACATCCTGCGACAATGGCAAGAGCCCAGCCTGGCTGAAAGTTTAATGTGGGATTAGACTCAGCCAGGCTAATGAAATTTACAAGTCAGCAAAGTGACTAAGCGTTAGAGATCCTCCTCATATGGACGAGGCCGCTTAGCACGTCTGCGGCACACCCCGTCTGCAACCAGGGATTAGTCAATCCTCCTCGCAGCACCCTTGGGAGCTGGGCAGGACAGTGCCAGCAGCCACTGTTCACAGAGTGGGACACTGAGACACAGGGAGGGGAAGCAGGTACAAAGTGAAATGGTGGCAGTGCCCTGTCCTTTGTACCTAGGCCACACGGCCTCCCTGAGATTGTCTTCTGTGTATCCAGACAAAGGGTGCACACAACAATCAGGACAAGTAAAATAAAGCCACATTCAGTGCAAGGCAGAATGTGCTGTGGGAGCTCATGGGTTCCTTAAAGCCTTTTCAATCACATGGCACAGTGCAAAAAAGAAAAGAAAAAAAGTAAATGGGGCACTGGCTAGGGGACCGAGCCTATCTCCATACCAATCCTGGGCAGAGTGCTCTGCTATAAGTCTATCTCCTGCCCTAGTTCTGTGGGCAGGACCGCCATTGAGGTCAGTAGGAGATTGACACCCACAGCTGAAGGGCCTGAAAGGGCAGTTCTGCTTTGAAAAGGGACTCTGTAAGATGGTCCCATGCAGCCACACAGCCACCATCTCTCAGCGACTCCAGGTCCAACAGGCTCACAACACAAGATGGCTTTAGACCCCGCCTCCTGGGATCAGAGAATCAAGCTGGTTCTTTCCTTCTCATGCATCACTAGTATTCATTACGACTGCCCTCAGCAACACCCATGCCAACGCATTAGCAGTTTGTCCAGGCGTGAATGATTGGAACAGTTCTGGTGATGATGCACAAGGCACAGACTTCGGCTGCCTTTCCCGCAGCTGCGTTGACTCTTCAGGGGTAAGAGGAGCAAGAAGCAGCCAGAACTTATTTTTGGCAGGAACTCTGACTCCGTCTGATACACACACAGGGAACAGAGCTGTGCAGTACAGAAAGGCCATTTTTACAGCCAATTTTCAGAGCAGAGCCTCCCTTTTAAATCACGCTAAGATTTACTCCTCAGTTCCTTTGAGGGCAAGGTTAGCTAGTGATTAGAGAGCAGTAGACTGGGAGGGCATCAGGACTCCTGGGTTCTTTCTCTAGCTCTACCACTGATTCATTGTGCCACCTCCTCCTCAGTTCTTCCACTGTAACATGGAGATCAGCTCCTCACAGGGGGGCTGATAATTATTGCTGGCAGGGACCTGCTTGGAGTTCTCTCTCTGGAGGCGGCTGATGGCTTCACTGGTCTGCTGCCTCCACAGCATCAGGATGTTGCTGCTGGATCACGATTGCTACTTCACAGTGCCCTGTGGAAAGTCCAGGGCAGGCTGGAGAAAGTTTCAGATGCCATCCTCCCCATCTCAGTTTCCAGTGCCGGGCTGCTTCAAGTCTGTGCTGCTCACAGAGATGCTGGGAACCACGAGGTTCCTTTGCAAAAGATGGAAAGACACCCCCGCAAACTGTACAGCCAGGGTCACACCCAGGGCACCCTCATGCCAAGTGAAAACAGTAATACGGGGAGACCCCCACCTTCCCCAGGAGCCTGACAGTTCAGAAGGTGGCAGTATCTGACGGGTTAAAGGGAAAGCACGAGGGTTGTGCCCTTTTTCGCTTCTCTAGGAGGGACAGAAATGCTCTGAAATGGAGACGTTTTATTGGTTCGTCTAAACAAATTTTCTGCCCTTTTTAAAAAAAATTAAATATGAGGTGAGGCAAGTCTGCTTTTGCGGCAGGTCCCAGCTAGCTGACCAGCAAGCGGCGTGAGACAGAACAAGAACCCACAGCTGGAAACTGAAGCCAGACAAACTCACAGTAGAAAGGAGGCACCATTTTACTTTAAACACTGGGGGGGCATTGGAACAAACTCCCAAGGGGAGTGGTGGATGGTCCATCTCTTGATGGCTTCGGATCAGAACTGAAGGCCCTTCTGAAAGATGCTTTAGTCAAAAACAAATTGATTGAGCTCAATATGAAGAGAGCTGGACGACATGCCCTGGCCTGTGTTATACAAGGGGTCAGACTAAATAATCTAATATTCTAATATCAATTAATCTTAAAAACCAGGGCTGCTGAATCTTTGAAGAAGGGATTTTTTTTCTCCCAAATGACTCTGTTGAAGAGGTATCCACAAAACCAAAGAGTTTTAAATAGTCTACGCTTTAATTCCCCTCTCCGTTAAGCAGATTTCACTTCCTTGGCACTTGGGTTGTCACAATGCCCACAGACACCCCCGTAAGCCAAAGTCACCCAGGGTGGATGAGATCTGAATATTTAACCTATAATTCAACCGAATAGAGACACCCTTTCATTAAAAGCAGCAGAGAAAAGGGGCCCTGCCCATTTCCTTTGCAGGGCGCCTTTTAAGACTGCACTTTAGAGGACCCACAAAAAGCCACATTTGGGATCCCAATCACTGCGCCTCTGCAAGGTATGGTGGCCTACAGGAGATCATGGACTTTTGATCCCTGCTGCATTGCCACATATGTAGGCCTGACAGAACAAGGTCTGAAACTCCGCGCTTCTTGGCTTTGGTGGGTGACCTGCAAAGGGAGCAGTGAAGTCCCAGGGGCCACCCGCCCAGCCCAGAGCTCAGCAGAGGGAAGAGATTCAGGCCTTACTGCTGATGCCCCTGGTAGCCTCTTGGGCACAAAGCACACAAAGAAGTTCTGATCACTCCCATTGCAGGATTATTTTAATCACATCTCTATATTTCGTTTTCCCATTTCTTCCTTGCCAGTCTGAATGGATTTACAACTCACACCGGGTTTATTCAGAGAGGGGCCTCAGACCCGCTCAGACACAAAGTTAAACCACCAACGCCAGTTTGCCCACAGGACTGGGCCTGGAGAGAGTTGGCCTGGGGGCCCTATGGTGCCTTGTGCACAGTTGCTGACCTCAGTACTGCTGCACTTCAAAGCCTGCTGAGTTTATGGGGAATCTTTCCTGACATCAAGAGAGGCAGTGCTGTCTACTGGATAGAGCACTAGACTGGATTGAATGCTAGTTGAATGCTCATCTGTGCATTCAACTCCTGATTCTGACACTGGCCTGCTGAGTGACCTTGGGTGGGTCACTTCCCTGCTCTGTGCCTCAGTTTCCCCATGTGTAAAATGGGGGTGATGCTCCTGACCTTCCTTTGTAAAGCGCTTGGAGATCTATGGATGAAAACTGCTAAATATAACGCCCACTCCCCCATAGACACTTCACAGCAAATTGCTTTGGAAGGACAACGCTCGAGCTCATGAACTAATCTCTCCTTTGCTTGAGCACAGGAGATGCTGCAAAGCATGAGGGGAAGCTCGCTTCAAAGCGGCAACGCTAACGGAGTCACAGGCTCGTGGTGCTGGCAGTGTCTGGTGATCCCCAGATGGCAGCCAGCAACCGGGAGACACCCCATCATGGTGACAGATTCAGTCAGCTCGGGCAGCAGCGTGGCTCTTTTTCTGACCAAGGCCCTTCCCTCCCTGAGGCAGGGGAAAACCTGTCTCCCAGCAGGGGCTGTCAGTGCAACCCTGCAGGTGTCACGGGACAGCCCCTGGGGAACTCCAAACCTTTGCTGATGCTCTGGCAGCCAGTCAATTCAGCTAGGATTTGGGGGCATGGACAAGGCTGCTCCCTGCTTTGGGATTCAGCTTGGTAAGGGCAAGCACAAGTGATTGATGGGTGCTGGCAGAGAAGTGGGGCTTGAAATGGGAAGCAGCTAGGTGGGTGGCAGAAACAGAGAAGATCTGCAGTGGCAGGACAGAAAGATTGGTCTCCAGAGGGAAAAGGAACAGCTCAGAACAGGCTGCAGAGGGGGAAACAGAAGTGGGTCTCATAGGATCTGGGAGAGCTGGTCTCTGATGCTGGGCAGCTGGCACCAACTACTATGAAGGACACACAGGAACGGCAGTAAGGTTTGGGCAGCTCTGGTATGTTTAGTTAAACACTACAGCCTCTCTGCATCTGGTGATGGGGCAGAAGAGGTATTTACACCTCGGCTGCTGCAGATCGTCTGGGCGTCCACAGGCTGGGAAGGGAACAGCAGCACAAGTGCAGTGGACGCAACCTTTGGGCCTCCTTCCTAGGGATGCTGAGTGAGGCGGCAGTTCTCAGGTAGAGGAGTTTCTCACAGACCCAGCCCCCTGTACTGACCGCAAAGCCAGTCACCTCTTTCCAGTAGCTGGGCTGGAGAGGAGACTCCACGCGCCTGGCAGGTGGCCCAACAAAAGGCCACAGGATCATAGATTCATTCGTAGTGTCAAGATCAGAAGGTACCATTAGAGCCTCTCATCGGACCTGCCTACAACAGGCCACAGAACGGCAGTCAGTCACCCTGCACTGAGCCCAGTAACTTGTCTGGCTAAAGCATCATCCAAAAGGCAGCCTGTCTCAAAGGCACCAAGAGACAGAGAATCCACCCCTTCCCTGGGAGACTGGTCCCGTGGCTAACCCGTTAAACACGTGTGCCTGTCATCGTTACTGCTGTCCATGCTGCACCAGCATCCAGGGGCTATAATCAGGAGCAAGGCCCCCATTGTGCTAGGTGCTGTACAAACCAAAAAGGAAGGCGCTTCCTGGCTCCGAGGAACCGGTCTCCACTTTTGCACAGACCAAGGTACTTTATGAAGGCGAGTGAGTAGCATTATCCCCATTTTATGGGGGGATACTGAGGCACACAGTGGGGAAGGGACTAGCCCCAAATCACACAGCAAGTCTTCGGCAGAGCTGGGGTTAGAACCCCAGTCTCCCTCCCAGGTTCTAGCCATCAGATCCCGCTGGCTCCCCATCTCATTTGATAAAGTGGTTACAAGATGACACATTGCAGGTGGAATCAGCACAAACGGCCAGACTGCATGAGGCTAGGCTACATTCCCTGTAGCCACTGTAACTCCACCAAGCACCTCAGACTGCAGGCACTTGTTAAACTACAGAAACCGAGAGTTTGTGTTTTGTTTTCTTTCTAAGAAAACCCACAACACACACTGCCAGCTCAGTGCAAATTAACCCACATGTGTGTAAACAGGTCAGGCCTGAAATGCATGCAAAGTCAGGCAGGCCAGGAGCGTATTTACTTTTCTTCAGAATGAGAATTCAGCCCCAGATGTGGCCAAGGTGCCAGAGCCACATGGCTGGGGCTCCCTCCGTCTGAGCCTGCACCCGATGGGAGTATTTTGTTAAGGCTGACGAAAGATGCTGGATTTACAGCCTGAAGGCCTGTGTGTACTCGCAGTCTGGGCAGCACGCACAGTGGCACTTGTTCCTACGCCAACATCCCCTACCCCTCTCTGCTGAGGCTGCCAGTGAGGGCCACTCCCACTGGCAGCTCTCTGGGATGTGGGTGCCTGTCTGCTAGGCACTGGGCCCAGACTCTGCAAACTCAACCAAGGTGCGTAACGACTGCCAGCCTGCAAAAGGCTCAAACCGGCTGTGTCCCTCACGGTCAGAGCCCTGACTCCTCCACTCCCACACAGCAACCGCTGTTTGAAAGGCTGTCCCTACCCATGCTCGCTCACTCTGAACACACCGAAAACCCCAGGCCCCGCTCAGCGAGGCAGTGGGGCTCCCAGCCCTGAACAGAGGCAGCACGCACCTCTCAAGGCACGTAAGGGGATAAAGACAAGGGCCTTGGTGCACCAAAGGCTTTTCCTTCTGCTGGGACAAGGTGGCCAAGCCCGGCTGCTCAGAAGCCCAAGGCTGAGACCTGGCTGCACAGTGTCATCCTCTGGCACCCATCGCTCATGACCACATGTCTTGGGGCTGTAGCTGAGAGGCAAAGGAGGGTCCCTGAACCTGGGAGCTTCAGAATGGCTTTAAGGGAGGGGAGAGCATGCTTCACTCTGGAAGGGATAATCCCCACTGAGAAATGACTCAGGGTCCAGGAGGCATCTTTACAATAACCACAGCAGCCACCCCTCTCCCAGCCCCCAGGGCACAGGCCTACCTTATCCAGGAAGCACAGCTTGTCCCTGGTCTTGGCATCCAGGATCTCCACCTCAAAGAAAAGAACAGCCTTTTTAGATTTCTTGGCCTTGGGGTGACGCTTGAGCCCGATGCCGTTCAGACCCATCAGGAGGGGCTGGCCCCCCTCCAGGGGCACCACGTTCGTGTCCATGCCTCTCCACAACTTTTCCAAGCAAACCCCAGGGAGCGAGTGGAGCCAGGGACTCAACACTGCAGCTTTGCTCTGGCTGTCCCAGTCAGTGGATTCCTGAGGGAGCTGCTTCTCCAAGGCTCAGTAAGATCTCCCCTTGCTCTGGGAGGATTCCAGGGGCCAGCCCATGAACGGGACCCAGCCCGGAGACCAGAGATCTGTTCTGCAGGCTGATTCGGAGGTGTAACCTGATAGCACAGGGAGGTGAATCACTACCGTATCCAGCTAAATATAAAACAGAGCCTAGCTTCTCACAAGCAAGCAGCTTCTACCAGGGGCTTTTTAAAGGCACTGCCAACACCCCAGAGGATAAACACCGCCCAGCATTCGCCTGGATTTGTTAGTTGCTTTCAGACTTTGCAGTTATTAAATGGGCCACTGCAGGCTACAACATACCCAGCCTGGTGAAAGTGTCTCTGTCCTGAAGTACCCACAAGCACCCAGGAGCCGACCAGGTGCTAATCTCACATCAGCAAGAGTTTGCATTCCTGTGAGATCGATTTGTCAGTATTATAGCAATACATAGAGGGCCCAATTAGAAAGGAGGATCTATTGTGCTAAGTACTATACAGATATGAACTAAACAGTCATCTCCCTTATGGTGCTCAGTAATGGTTTCGTTTGTATCAACCCGTTAGACGGATGGATTTCCCTCTGCTACTTAAAAAAATAGCATGCATAATTCATCTGTGGAACTCTCTGCTGCAGGATATAATTGAGACAAAGGGGCCAGCAGGTTTAAAATACAGGGCTAGGCATTTATAAGAGTTGCCTCTGAAATTACAGTGGCTAGCCTAAAACCTCCCGCTTGAAGGTAAAAGCTGCTCATTGCATTCACAGACATCTCCATCCCCGTCACCAGGAAATGGCATTACAGTAGGTATAGTATAGACACATTATGCCTTCTGAAGCAGCTAGCACTGGCCAACTTCAGAGACGTGACCCAGGACTAGATGGACTCCAGGTCTGTTCCAGTCCAGCAATTCCTGAATTCCAAGGTGCACACATGACAAGCTTGGCCCTGGATTTGGAAAGATCTTCTGCTGGAAGGACCTCTGGCTCATTCTTCTCACTGCATTTTAAATGCAGTATATTTTTTCACTTTAACTGCATTCTCCCGATTTCCCTATTCTCTCCCCACCTGTTCTTAATGCACCCCCCCCCTTCAACAAATCAGAAGCATTGGAAGCTTTGTACTGACAGATTAGAGCCTCAACTCCACCAGGGAAATATTACAGCAATGCCACTGTTGCAGAGATGGGCTCCCACTGGCATTTCATCACTAGGCATCTTAGATCTCCTCTGAGGAGGGTTAGAAGAGATTATGCTTATCACACCCAAACCAGCTGACAAACCATCTCCACTAGGGCTCTGGTGCTGCTAACACAGGTGATGCTGACCCTTGGCTTAAGCAGAAAGGCATTTTCCTAAAGCTAAGCCTGGTTAGGGATTTTTCCCCAAAAGAAGTAGTATTTGTTTCTTACTCTTAAGAGTGCGGGATTTGACATTGTGCATCAATTAGCCAGTCTGAGGCTTGCCTGCTAGGAGCATGGATGTCTACAATATTGCAACACACAGTCTGTGAGCAATAGAACAGGGACTGCACTGCGGAGAGCAAAAACTAAATGCCGTTACCATATGAAACATGTCCCACTCTCTCCCCAGGCAATTAGGCAAACTTCTGAGAACTAGCTAAAAGTTAGAACTGGCTTGCACAGAAGAGTGAGAAGTCTGTGGGCGGTTTACACTTGAATTAACACTGCATTTTTAAAAGGAGCTGCCGAAGGCCTGGTTTTGAGTTCAGAGCACGCAGCATGGAAACTTGGGTCCAGGATGGGATGGACCTTTCAGATCTTGAGTGATGTCCAGCCATTAAGTTTCAATCATTCTGTTGGAGTAGCTGGAAACTTGCAGTCAAAGGCACCGACTCCGTGGGTGCTCCAGGGCTGGAGCACCCACGGTGAAAAATTAGTGGGTGCTCTGCACCCACCGGCAGCCAAGCTCCCCTCCTCACCTCACCTCCGCCTCCTCCCCTGAGCGCGCCGCATCCCCGCTTCTCCGCCTACCTCCCAGCACTTGCCGCCACACAACAGCTGTTTCGCGGCATAACAAGCTCCGGGAGGGAGGGGGGCGGAGCGGGAATGCAGCTCACTCAGGGGAGGTGGTGAGAAAGAGGCGGGGCCGGGGTGGGGATTGGGGGAAGGGGCAGAGACTTTGGGGAAGGTATTGGAATGGGTGTGGAGCAGGAGTAGAGTCGGGGCAGGGCCCGGAAGTAGAGGGGAGTCGAGCACCCACCAGCACCAGCAAAAGTCGTCACCTATGTGTGCAGATCATCTCTTAGGGGCTTAAGGAGGTGGCAGGGATCTCAAATGTGGAGAAGACACAGCACTAGTTACGTATTTTAAATAATGAAGATATAGCTCTTCCTCTCCCCCCTTGGAGACCCTGAAACCAACCTGGGGATCACGAAATTACAACATAGTGAAGTTTGTCCCTAAGAATTACAGGTCTAGTTTTCAGAGGTGCAGCCAATAGAAGCTGCACGGGCTCATACTCTGTGAAAAGAAGTCTGACCCTCGGTACTATGGCATATTCCTACCCACAACAAACTCAGTGCACATGGTGGAAAGAGATGAATAGGGGAAACCTAAGCCGGTCTCCTTGGAACACAGCAAGGGGTTACTACAGGAGCTTCTACCTTTGGTAACTGCAGGAAGGATTTCCAACAGCCTTGAACCAAAAAAGGCATCATCAGCCATGAGTGCAGGAGGAAACCCAGAGCAGAGGTCATGTTATTGATTCTCACCTGGATGAAGTCAGCCATCTAGGACTGGCCTCAGGAGACCTGGGTTCTACTCCTTGCTCTGTCACCAACCTGCTCCGTAACCATGGGGCAGTCGCTTCCAATCTCTGTGCCTCTGTTTTCCATCCCTCTGTCTGCCTGGTTTATAGATTATCTGGGAAGAGGAGGTGTCTTATTATGGGCAGGTCTACACTTAAAGCGCTGTACCAGTGCAGCTCAGCCACTGTAGCGCTTCAGCGGAGATGCCACCATGCCACTGAGAGAGCGTCTCCTGTCATAGTTAAATCGAGCTCCATGAGAAGCAGTAGCTAGGTCAACGGGAGAAGCCCTCCCATTAACATGGGTTTGGTCGGTATAACTACATTGCTCAGGGGTGTGGATTTTTGAGTGACACAGTTATTCTGATATAAGTTCATAGTGTAGACCTGGCCTCAGTGTCTGTACATGGTTTAGCACAATGGGGCCCTGATCTCAGCTGGAGCCTCTAGGTGTTACTATAAACACAAATAAGAATAAGCCAATTTACTGGCTGTAAAGGTTTTAGGGCCTGATTTGCAGTCGTTCTGAATCTGCCTCAGCTCCCACTGACTTCAGCCAGACTTGCAGGTGCTTAGCGCCTCAGAAAAAAACAAGCCTTAAATGCCCATGCAAAGATTACAGAATAAAAAAAAACTAGCAGTTTCTCTCCTCCTGCTGCTTCTACTCATTGCCATTCTGAACCATTAATTATTATTAAACAGTTCAAAATTCACAGCCACGGGGGCGTTCAGTTAGCCCTCTCCCAGCTGTCGGGGAGTTCTGGGTATCTGCAGAATTCAGAAGGCAGAGAGTGCCATTTCCTGCTGCACTCCCCAGGGACACTTGGGATTATTTTCGCTTTGCATTGAAGCGGTGGAGAAGGTGACAAATTCCTGAGCTTGTGGATTCCTGAAAACTGCCCCCAGACAAGCTGGGAGAGAAAGGGTCAGGGACTGTGTCAGAGGCACCCAGAAGCTCCCCAACATATGAACAACTCATTGTCTCAAAGATAACACACACAAGTCTGTGCTTCAAGGGACCCTGATGCATGGATTGGAAAGGCTTTAAATTCAAGGGGAACACTACCAAAAAATCAGATCAAAACGGCACAGAGGTGCACGTCAGCAAATGTGTTTGTCTGTAACTCATCCTTTCCTTCCCTCTCCCCCCCCCCCCCAGCACTCACCCTCAAAGCCCCCTTCCTAGCCACATCCACAAACAGAAGGGAAGAAAGCCTCTCTCCTTCCTGATGGTTTCATGAGACCCATCGCTCTGGAAGGATGCAGCCCATGGCTGCTTGCAGGGGGCAGGGACAGCGTGTTCTGCACTCTCAGCAGATCGGAAGGACTGAGTCCAAGCAGGTGTATTAATAGAAGCTGTGCTCTAGAGGCTAGGGCAGTTTATCATATGCCTCTAAACCCTGGAAACAACAAGAATCTCATGCAGGGGTAGCAGCAGGAGAGATACTGCTGAGGCAGTCAACATCTGAAAATACAAACAGCCAACTCTGGACATGAGGGACAGACTGGGGGACTTAGTACACCAGAAGGGGGTCGGGCAGAGCCACAGATCAAGAGAGCTTGAATCAGCAAGTGGTTGGAATCAGAGAAATCGATCTCAAGCCACCATGACCCTGCAGGCCGCCTATGGGATCCCCATGGGAAAGAAGAGGCTCTCCACTGTAGACGGAGCTGGAGACAGAAAGCATGCTCATTTCAAGAGCAAAGCGGAGGGACGGTGGAGCAGCCCACTGGTCACAGAAAGGTAAGGGACATCCCTGCTAAACAAAACAACTCCCTGCTACAGAGAAAAAGCTGCTAACTGTAAAACAGTCAGGCTGGGCTCTGCTGCACAGACTGGACTCACCAATCTGGGTACTGAGAAAGGTTTCAGAGGAACAGCCGTGTTAGTCTGTATTCGCAAAAAGAAAAGGAGTACTTGTGGCACCTTAGAGACTAACCAATTTATTTGAGCATGAGCTGTAGCTCACGAAAGCTCATGCTCAAATAAATTGGTTAGTCTCTAAGGTGCCACAAGTACTCCTTTTCTTTTTGCGGGTACTGAGAAAGTTTACCCTGAGTCTGGACTAACTGCCTGAGGTTCCTTGCAAGAACCTCAAAACAGGTCTAACCTGTTCCCAACAGAAACAACAGCATGTGGTAGAAAGCCACAGGCGTATGTGCAGGGTACATATCCCTGGCAATGAGATGGGCTAAACAGTGATTCTCAAACTTTTTTACTAGTGACCCCTTTCACATAGCAAGGCTCTGAGTGCGAATCCCCCATCAATTAAAAATGCCTTTTTATATATTTAACACCATTATAAATGCTGGAGGCAAAGCAGGGTTTGGGGTGGAGGCTGACAGCTCGTGACCCCCTGTGTAAGAACCTTCCGACCCCCCCGAGGGATCCCGACCCCCAACTTGAGAACCCCTGAGCTAAAAGGTTGCAAACAGGATCAATTGGGCACATGTAATTATTTCTCCTCTTGCACAACTTCTCCCTAGAGATTCCCAGTCACAGAGCTCGCTTGGAGCGAATTAGAAAGCAGCATGCACCATCTGAAATCAAGCCATCTGCTTTGGCCTCTTAACACCAGAGGGACACAAGTAATTATGACCTTGCCAATAATCAGACACATCGTGAGCCCAGGGCCTAAAACTCTGCTTGCTGTAATTATTTAAGAGACCATAGGCGGGGGTAGGGGGAAGGTGTTCTGGTGTAAATGGCACATGCCATTACTGTACAGATGGACTGTGGTTTTCCAGCAATGGCTGACACTGACTCAGACTCCAAAGTCCAGGCTGGTGACTAGGAAGGACAAACAGGTGTCTGGGGAGCAGCCAGCTGCCCCACAAGTGAAGACAGGAATTTTCACATAGGCAGCACTTTTCATCTGAGAATCTCAAAGGTGGGTCAGTATCATTATCCTCATTTCACAGAGGGGGAAACTGAGGCCCAAAATGATATACCCGAGGTTTCACAATCCGTCAGGGTGGGGCCACAAACAGAACCCAGATCTGCCAACTTCCACCCCCTGGCTCTAACCACTGGAAACACTGCTGCTCCCCAGGATGGAGACAGCAGAACCGGCACATGCTTTAGAAGGGAGCGTCTGGTATGCGGGCTTCTGAGAGAGATTGGCTACTGGGCCCACCCAGCATGCTCAATATGTTGAATACTAATCCTCCCAGGACCCAGAGAAGGAGTTTCTTAGGGAAGGACAGAATCCAGGGATGGTTGGGGAGAGGCCTTTCTCACGGACACTGGTTGCAGGGGGATCTTAGGCTCGGCATACAGTGTCTGGAACAGTGCGTACTGCGGGGCAGAGAGCCAAAGCCCCCAGGAAGCTGTGGGCTGCCTCACCCATGTTTATTAGGGGAAGAGCTGACCAGAAGTGGAGGGCATAGCACGTGGTAAAGCGTCAAGCAGCTGCGGCTCCGTGCATGCTGGGAGCAGAACCCAGAATCCATGTGTAGTCTCAGAACCAGATGCAGAGCTCAGCACGCTCTTGTCTGTGCTTAACGGTCAGTGACACCAATTGCTGAACTGGGGCTATTCCCCAGAGTGGAGACAAGGCCCAGGAGACAGCCGGGATGGGGATGGAGTTCTATTTCCCCATTTACCAGGTTCTCTTCTAGTTAACACTGAATGAGGAGATGAGCTGATCATATTCCTGTAAGAAGCACAAGCCATCTCTGGGATATGGACTGGATCTCATGGTCAGTGCATGTGGGGGCTTTAATATAGGGACAGTCTCATCCGCACAGGGGAAGTTCTCCTAAAGGAGCAGCATTCCTTTTGTGGGGCACCAACGGCTGGACAATGAAGGAACTCTTCTGCTGGAGGATTGCAACGTCAGCAGCTAGTGGTTGTCAGTGCACAGCACAGCTACCATAGGGCAGGAGATTCTCCCACCTGAAACACAGCTTCATCCTAGCCCCCTTTAGCACTCCATGTCCCCTTAGGCTAGGGAGTGTGTTGTGCACTCAGTGCTCCTGCATGGGGCTGTCTGGCCATCAGGAAGCTGCATCTCTAAAAGCCTCATTTACCCTGATCTGTTAGAGCAGAGGGTCCCAGAGGCAGTTCCACTGAACTGGCGACCGAAAATGGAAGGGGCCCCACCCATGGGAAACCCAGCACTGGGTTAGGCCTGCTTTGGCAGGCTGACTGCAGAGCACCTGCAGAGCTGCTGTTTCTAGGACATCCTTGACAGGTACCAGAAAGGACGTTCTAATGAGGAGAGACAGACACAGACAGCCACTGTTGCTTTAGTGCTGTGACAATGACCACTCAGAAGACACCTCACTAGCTGTAGCAGCGAGCAGACCTTAGCAGCGAGCAGACCTTAGCAGCGAGAACCAACTAGAGAAGCTATGACCAATCTGTATAAAGTGCTTGGTTCAGAAGACACTTCTTGGTAAATTAAGTGGTGGCCAGATCCCCACTGGAGCTTCCTAGAGGAGTCTAGCTCTCCCCATCTTGGAAGCACCATCACTCAGGACACCCCTCCTGGCAGCAAGAGGGGCTGGTCAAGGCGCCCCTCCAGAAGCAGTCACAGTGGTCCTTGAATTGTTCAGAGGCCAGTACCCTAAAAGGGACTTACACCACAGTCAGCCTTCTCTAGGTTCCTGGATAGCAGTGGAGTCATGCAATACCCAATTCCCTAGCCTCTAATGCCAAAGCCTCCCTTGCACAGATCCTTCCACGATTCAATTCATTTTACCACCGGTTGCACCTGTCCCGTACGAATCTGGTTTTAAGAGGCTACAAAGACCACACTCCAAACTGAAGAGCAGAGACAGGGAGAACTCTGAAGGCTGAATGAGGGGGTGCAAACCCAAATATCTTCCCCCACTAGCAGGGACCCCAGAAAGATCAGATCAAATGAGGGGAGAGAACAAAAGTTGTAGAAGACAGTGAATCCTGTACATTACAGCAAAGGAGGATAGAAAAGTGGGGACTGGGGGGGTACACGGCTTCTTTAAAAGGAAAAAATTGGGGTGATAAATTAACAATAGAAGTTTGGGTCTAATCTACCAGCTTTTCCTGGAAGACCCAATGGATAGAGAACTTGTAAGAGGACTACATCACAAGCACAAAGGACGTGAAAGCTGAGCACTAAGAAGTGATTTG